TGTCATCTGTTCCTGAGCTGGAGTCAGTGTCATCTGTTCCTGAGCTGGAGCCAGTGTCATCTGTTCCTGAGCTGGAGCCAGTGTCATCTGTTCCTGAGCTGGAGCCAGTGTCATCTGTTCCTGAGCTGGAGCCAGTGTCATCTGTTCCTGAGCTGGAGCCAGTGTCTGCTGTTCCTGAGCTGGAGCCAGTGTCATCTGTTCCTGAGCTGGAGTCAGTGTCATCTGTTCCTGAGCTGGAGCCAGTGTCATCTGTTCCTGAGCTGGAGCCAGTGTCATCTGTTCCTGAGCTGGAGTCAGTGTCATCTGTTCCTGAGCTGGAGCCAGTGTCATCTGTTCCTGAGCTGGAGTCAGTGTCATCTGTTCCTGAGCTGGAGTCAGTGTCATCTGTTCCTGAGCTGGAGTCAGTGTCATCTGTTCCTGAGCTGGAGCCAGTGTCATCTGTTCCTGAGCTGGAGTCAGTGTCTCTGTTCCTGAGCTGGAGTCAGTGTCATCTGTTCCTGAGCTGGAGCCAGTGTCATCTGTTCCTGAGCTGGAGTCAGTGTCATCTGTTCCTGAGCTGGAGCCAGTGTCATCTGTTCCTGAGCTGGAGCCAGTGTCATCTGTTCCTGAGCTGGAGCCAGTGTCATCTGTTCCTGAGCTGGAGTCAGTGTCATCTGTTCCTGAGCTGGAGCCAGTGTCATCTGTTCCTGAGCTGGAGTCAGTGTCTGCTGTTCCTGAGCTGGAGCCAGTGTCATCTGTTCCTGAGCTGGAGTCAGTGTCATCTGTTCCTGAGCTGGAGTCAGTGTCATCTGTTCCTGAGCTGGAGTCAGTGTCATCTGTTCCTGAGCTGGAGCCAGTGTCATCTGTTCCTGAGCTGGAGTCAGTGTCATCTGTTCCTGAGCTGGAGTCAGTGTCATCTGTTCCTGAGCTGGAGTCAGTGTCATCTGTTCCTGAGCTGGAGTCAGTGTCATCTGTTCCTGAGCTGGAGTCAGTGTCATCTGTTCCTGAGCCGGAGCCAGTGTCATCTGTTCCTGAGCCGGAGTCAGTGTCATCTGTTCCTGAGCTGGAGCCAGTGTCATCTGTTCCTGAGCTGGAGTCAGTGTCATCTGTTCCTGAGCTGGAGTCAGTGTCGTCTGTTCCTGAGCTGGAGTCAGTGTCGTCTGTTCCTGAGCCGGAGCCAGTGGCGTCTAGGGCTTGGTATTGTCAAGGGCATCCCGATACGCATCACGATACATGGGTCATGATACGATAGATACCACGATACAATACAATACGATACATATTACGATATATTGCAATATTTATATTTTTTTTACCTCCTACAACCGGAAAAAAAGTACTGGAAGACAATACAGTACATTACAATTCATTGCACTCAGCTGTTCGCCATTATGATTGTCATGTTCTGTGTGTATAAATACCCTGCCTGTTTAGTGTTTGTTACGGAGTTATTGTATATTGTCCCCACATTTCCATTGTCTTTGAGCCTGTTTCTAGTATTTGTCTTATGTTTTTGGATTGGGTTTTTGGATTTTGACCTTTGTCTGGACTGGATTGTGAGTACGGATTATCCTAATAAATTTACTGCAATTGAATCTCTCTCTCCTGTGTGTGTGATCGTGACACACAGACCTAATTTCAACGCAAACAATAGGTTTTGTTGCTTTCCACAAACTATGCTGTCAAAAAAAAATTACATTTATTTTTAGCTAATGGCCAAAAGTATTTGAGCAGTTGTATGATGGGAGTTAAATTAATTTGTTTACTCATAAGGTTTGCCTTCAGATAAATGTGAGAAGATGGTTAATACTTGTGTCCTCTCTTCCCCAGGGCCATGCTCAGACCAGCACTCCTGGCATCTCAACACCCAAGATGGTGCTTAAAGGGATACTCCACTTTTTTTTGGTAATATGTTCATTTTACAACTCCCCCAGAGTTAAACTGTTGAGTTTTACCTTTTTTGAATCCATTCAGCCGATCTCCGGTTCTGGCGCTACCACTTTTAGCATAGCTTAGCATACATCATTGAAGTGCACCAGACCATTAGCATTTCTCCCCCAAAAAATGACCAAAGTGTTTCGATATTTTTCCTATTTAAAACTTAACTCTTCTGTCTCCACTTTGGTAATTTTTTTCTGAGAAATGCTAATGGTCTTGTCCTCTTCAATGATTTATGCTAAGCTATGCTAAAAGTGCTACTGCCAGAACCGGAGATCGGCTGAATGGATTCAAAAAAGGTAAAACTCAACAGTTTAACTCTGGAGGAGTTGTAAAATGAGCCTATTTCCAAAAAAAGTGGAGTATCCCTTTAAAGGCTGCAGGGAAGGTTCTCCACATTGTGCTCACTATGGATGGGCAGGTAATCACAGAAGAGAGCGAGGACATCTTGATGGGATTGGGTCTCGTCCTGTGTGTTTTATTTTGTGTTTGGGATCCAGTATCCTAAAGGACTCAAGAAGACACTGACCTTTTTGGAGTGTGTTACATTGAAACTGAAAGATGCAGCCAGACTTCCTGTCACAAAAATTAGACTTTAGGACTCAATAATCTCTTTCTGGATGGCCAGTTCAAGAAAACAAGCACGTTTACACTGATGCATGATGTAAATACATGATGTAAATATATTAAATGGGTTAATATTTATTGTGAATATTCAATTGCATTCTGTTTTAATTTTTTCATGAAATATAATATTCTATTAATTGTAATAAGTCTTAATTAATTTGTACTTTCTGTCTTGTGTTCAAATTTGTACATGACTATATTAAATAAATATTTCAAGAAGAATAATAGGTTGTGTCTGTGTTGTGAAATGGGATTAAAGTAGTAAAGTATAATAATAATAATTACAAACATACATATCTACATACCGAAATCATGTCTAAAAAGGTTCAAAATGGAACCCATGCGGTTCATTAATGCACCTTTAAGGGAAGGTTCCAATTAGAACCTTTTCAAAAAGGTTCAAAAATGAACCTTAAGGTTCCCCCACAGTTGCAATTTCCAGGAACCTCAAAAGGTTCATTTTTGAACCTTTCTTCTTAGAGTGTAACGGCAGATCTGCTCTTTAAGAGAGGTGACCTCTGCTGACAGAACCAGCACTTCCTCTCGTTTTTCTGAAGCTGATAACTGATTTTCTGATGACTTCTTCTCTAGGGTAGCCATGTTTTCTTTTAACTGGTTGCTTTCTACCTCTAAAACAGATGTTGCTTCTGCACGTTCTGGTAAGTGCAACTTCAATTGACAGGTGGTCTCTTTCCTCATTCACCATCTCCCATTTCTCCTCCAGTTTTTAAAGTAGTATCTCTCAGAAGAAGTTATTAGAGGAGGCAACTACAGCTTCACAGAAAGATGCTGAGCTTCAAAATGAGCTTCACCAACAAGAAAGCCTTAGAGAAAAGGCTCAGGAGCTTGAGACTGCCAAGCGTGAGGAACTTGAGAGAAAAGTAGACAAGGACGATCAGCTGGGCTCTTTAGAGAAAAAGTTGAAGGAGATGGAAGGGCTTTTCCTTCACAGGTGACCTCGACACAGGTGACCTCCAGGACAATTTGTGAACAAATACTTGATTTATTTCTATTGGCCATTTTTGTTTGCCTTCTGTTCACTTAGTTTATAGATTTGAATTTTCTGTTGTACAATGTGTTTAAAATAAAGTATTTTTATCATATATTTTATTTTGTATTATTTTTTTAAGGGTTTTAAAGCGTCTGTCTTTTTCCGTGTCTGTCCATCTTTCTGTCTATGTTTGTCTTTGTGTGCCTCTTTTCCGCCCGTCTGTCTGTTTCTTTTTTTGTTGGATAAATCGTTTTTAAAGACTATGCAGAAATGAGCTGTTCACATCATTATGATTTTCCTCTAGAGGATCGGGACACCCTACGGTCTTGCACGCCTTAAGCGAGAACGCGCATCGAGGGGCACAAGGGCGCGAGTGCGGATATTGGGGGACATTCTCACACGCTTAACGTTAAAAACACTTAATGTACTGAGACGGCGATATTAAAAGACCAAACTCCGAGTCAGTACACATCATATTAATAAACCATACTATGTATAAAAAAATAAGATGAGTCCAGAATATCAACGCAACGCGATTAATAACACGTTAAGCATTTTCTTCCCATAGAAAACCGTCATGAGAAAACGCTTAACGTGGCTCACTGTACTTGTGGCATGCATGACACATTTACACTTTTGCTTTACTGTTTGTATCAGTTAAATTTATTGCTTGGTTTCTATTGCTTTTTAGTACGGTGGCTGAGAGGGCTCAACACGCTGCAACAGAAGACAACGGATGCAAACAGAAAAAACCCTGTAAAATAAGACCATCTTTATCACATGTGCTAAAACACAACCAAATACAGAAACACACTCCAAATGTCCGACCAACAACGCAAATATCTACTGGACAGTGGTGTTTATTATTATTATTATTTATTGTTTGCGTTGTATTTGCAGCAGTGTGTTGTGAAACTGGTGTCTTGACTTGCTGCTGTTTTTCTTGTTTGCATGTTTTCTTCTGTTGCAGGACTTTGAGGTCTCTTGCCGTTTGCAGTGTGTTTTTGTATTTGGTTGCATGTGTGTTGTCAAACTGATGAAGATGTTCTCTTAATTTGCTGCTGTTTTTTACTGTTTGCATGTTTTCTTCTGTTTCAGTGCGTTGAGATCTCTCGTATTTTCGTTCATTTTTTTAAATGCATGAAACATTTTATGCAACTTTTAATAAATGGGTTGTAGGCTACAGAAGTTTAACATTGCTAGAAATTCAAAATATATTCAAACCAAGTTGTCCCAAATTTGAGGTTATCACAATTAAATTGAGGTTTCTTTATTTTCCTTACTTTGTCTGGTTTATAATTTTTTTGGTTCATTTCAAATTTAAATATGAGTAAATAAACTTTAGTTGATTACTACGACAATATGTGCAGTTTCGGAAAAGGAGTGTTTCCATTGGCTACGTAATTTATGATAGCCAATGAGCATAGAGAAGGGAGTAATGCGTCATCAGATATTTAAATGAGCAGTGAACGACCTGCTGCTTCCTTATTAGTTTTGTTAAGTAGTGGTCGAGTGTTTCGGTGTAACAAATGCGGTAAAACATCTCTCATTGATTGATTGATTAAAAAATTTTGCCCACCTGTACACTACTGATTATTTAAAAATTATTTTTTTCTGGCATTCTATAAACATCAGGGACACACCAACCTGTATCTGATCTGTCTGCGCGTGTCTGAAGTTCGCTTCACATTTAAGGAGGTAAAATGTTTTATAATACCCAACATATTTAACATTTGGAGTTTCATCTTTAATGTTACAAGTGCTGTTTTCAAGTGTGTGTGCCTAAACTAGTTTTGTATCAAAAGAGATCGAGTTTAATTTATCCAGTGTAGGCCTATCTGTTAGGGATGTAACATTTTTGTATGAAGTATATACATGCAAATATTTCTTAAATCTATACATGCACGTGTGTATTTATATATACAAAATAATTATACACATATATTATGTGAACACAAACTTTTATTTTGGATGCGATTAATCGTTTCACAGCCCTAATATTATCTCATGCAATTTACATGTTTACACGCCATGACAAACAGAGGCGAACCAAACTTTCACTGCTCAGGTGAGACGCTTTTATTCCCCCCCCCCCCCCCCCTTCCTTTCTGTCTCGTAAACCTGTTTAAAATGAATTTCTTTCTCACACTGGACTCATCAGGTGCTCAACGCCTTCGCTCAGCTGGCGAGAGCCGAGGAGGACGTTACTAAACTCACGTTGGCTCATGAGTCGTCACTGGCTGAGTTGAACGAGGCCGTCACACACAGGGTACAGCATGAATCATGTTGTGTTTCTTTTCTCTGTACTCAACCTGACTGGTGTGTATTAATCTGTATTGTTTTCTTTCTCCTGTTCTCCTCGTTCAGGAGTGTCTGAGTGAGCAAGAGCAGATCCTTCAGGGAAAGATCTCCGTTCTGGAGGATGAACTCCTGAAAGCTCAGTCTCCGGACAGAGGAGAGGTTTTGGGACCCATCATGGAGGTGAGTATGGAGCACTAGGAGTGACGCTTAAAAATAAAAGGAGTCGTTTATCAAATTAATAGTCCAGACATAAAAATGGAAAAAAATCCGTTCATAAATGGACAAATCGAAAACATTTAGTTAAACTGTTTAATTAATGCTTTAAACTGTTAAACAATTGTTTTCTGTTATTTAACAACTACATTTTAAAACATGAATCAAATAAGCCGTTTTAAATGTCTATTTATTCGATTTTTCTTTTTATTAAATTGGATACTTTTAAACTTTAATTCATGTTTTAAAATTTTCTTGATTATATAATTTTTTTTAAAACCCATTAAATAAAGTTAAGTATCAATTTAATAAAACAGTTAATTATGTACCTTTCACACTGTTTAACTCGTTTTAAAATCTAGTTAAATACTACGGTGATGCATTGCTGCCACATACATATTATTATTTCCCCTCAATTATGTCAATAACGAGATATTTATGTAATTAAAACGAGATATTTATGTGGTTAAAATGAGATTATGTCGTTAAAACGAGATATGTCAATAAAACGAGAAAATATGTCGTTTTAACGGCATAAGATCTCGTTATGACGACATAATTGAGGGGAAAAAATATGTCTGTGGCAGCAATGCGTCATCGTAAAATATAATGGTTTTATTGATTTTGTTTTGTTTATTTAATTTACATTTTAAAACAAAGTTTTAATCTGTTTTATTTGATGAAACAAAATTAACTGTAAATTTAAGTGACATTCATTTGTTTTATTACATTTAAAATGAATGAACATTTAAAACATTTAACTCACAATTTTTTAAATCTAGTTCTATAAACCATTAAATAATAATTGATGTACATTTTTTTAAAGTCCATTTGTGAGATGGATTGCTCTTCAATTTAAATTTTACTTTTTAATCTTGATTTTTGCTCTTTACTAGTCTGAGTAAATCTCACTTCATTGCGTTTATTGTATAAAATGCTATGACTTAAAAAAATGAATGTCTTGTCTCTTGTCAGGTTTTGACTAAAATCGAAAGCCTCCAAACTCGCATTCTGGAACGGTCCGAGCAGATTTCCCTAAAAGATGAAGAAATCAGAAATCTGAGGAACGAGCCCGACTCTGTTGAGCGCGAGCTGAAGCTTGTGAAGGAACAAAATATTAAAAACAATTGACAGGTGGTCTATTTCCTCATTCACCATCTCCCATTTCTGCTGGTTCTCCTCCAGTTGTTGTTCATCAACAAGCCTCTTCTCCAGATCCTCCTTTGCCTGATGCAGATCAAGGATATCTTTCTCCTTTCGAAGGAAAAGCCCTTCCATCTCCTTCAGCTTTTGATCTAAAGAGCCCAGCTGATCGTCCTTGTTTCTCCTTGTAGGTTGCGCACCGTCTCCTCTAGCTCTCTGCGGAGATCATCTTCAGACTGTTTGGCCCTCAACTCTTGATCTTTCATCTCCTCTTGAAGAGAAATTACTTGAGCATCTCTCTCAGAGGCAAGAGTGGAGACCTGTTGGATTTTAGCTTGAAGTTCACTCACTGTTCTCTCAAGTTCCTCACGCTTGGCAGTCTCAAGCTCCTGAGCCTTTTCTCTAAGGCTTTCTTGTTGTTGAAGCTCATTTTGAAGCAAGAGAAGCTCAGCATCTTTCTGTGAAGCTGTAGTTGTCACGCCAGCCAGCTGGTTCAGAACAGAGGTCAGGATTTCCAGCGCCCCGTTGTGTTTGGTCTCTAGGACAGACATCTCCTGTCGTTTCAGTACTTCATCTTCACTGTAACGGCAGATCTGCTCTTTAAGAGAGGTGACCTCTGCTGACAGAACCAGCACTTCCTCTCGTTTTTCTGAAGCTGATAACTGATTTTCTGATGACTTCTTCTCTAGGGTAGCCATGTTTTCTTTTAACTGGTTGCTTTCTACCTCTAAAACAGATGTTGCTTCTGCACGTTCTGGTAAGTGCAACTTCAATTGACAGGTGGTCTCTTTCCTCATTCACCATCTCCCATTTCTCCTCCAGTTTTTGAAGTAGTATCAGAGAGAGATGATGTGCGGCACAACCCATCAAACTGACAGGTTTATTGCCCCCCCATAAAAATAAGCCCCGCCCCTTTTACCCCTCCCACCCCTCCCACTTATGAACTGTACGTACACCGTGGGAAATTCCCACGGTCTCCCCTCCTCTTACCACCCACCACCACCCCTCACCATCACCACCCCTAGCCACCTCTTCTGGACTGGTCACGTGATCGGGGGAAAAATTTCCCCCCGAACCGGACCCCGATCCATCCGACCCGGTACCGAACTGGACACCTGTTACGGAGGGGTCGTGTCACCACCCCCTCACCACTTCAGGGTGATCGCACGATCCCCACGATAGTGAAAAAACAATACATTTTCAAAACTTTAAGGACGACATAAAACAAAAGATAGGTTTAGTGATTTTATTAAAAGAAAAATCTTTTACACAGACTTGAAGTTGTACAAACTATAACAAATACAATAACGTTGTAATAGTGTTCTATTAAAAAAAGTTTTCTAAAATACATCTTTAGTGTTTCATTAAAAATGCACGGCTTCATATATATTTTATGTTAAAACAGTTTAAAAATTATATTAAAAAGTCAAAGATCGACCATTTTACAGAAAAAGTCAAGCAAAGGGGTTTTTCATTACAGAAAACTGTTTTTTCTAAACCATTTATTTTTAAAAAAGACATACGTTTACAAAACAATGTTTTAAAATCCGTTTTTAGTCAATTTATATCATTAAGACACGGCAGGAGTCTTTACCTTTACACGCTATTTAGTAAATTGCTCCGTTTTATATAAAACATCTGTTTCGCTCTTTTCACAATTACGCGTTTTAAAAGTATTAAAATATTGTATAAAGTTAAAATACATGTGTCTTTAGCGTTCATGCATCTGCGGGCATTAAATCGTGTTTTTAAAAACATCTAAAAGCGTATGTATTAAACTTATATCAAGTAAATAGTTATGTTTTCTTAATAAAACATATAAAACCGGTTGTTCTATATCAAACAAATAGACCTATTTCTATCATACATTTTAAAAAAGTATTACTTTTCACATAACATGTATAATGTTTAAATCTATTAACCCATTTATAGATACAGTGCAAGCCTTTAACGTTACATCCAATGCATTTTAAAATAAGACGGGTGTTTTAGAGTCTTCAATAACAAAAAAATAAAAGTATTTGAGCAAAAGTTTTACAATTACATGCCGTTTAAAAGTATTAAAATACACGTCTCTTTACTGTTTTATACATCTGTAAATGTTAAAACCTTTAAAACAGTTTAAAAATTTATTCATATGTGAAAAAGTCAAAGACCGATCATTTTACAGAAAAAGTCAAACAAGTTTTTCATTGCAGACTTACGTTTTATCCTGTTTAAAAAATCCGGCTGCAATGCTTTATCCAAAACTTTAGAGATATTCCAAAAGTCCTCCGATTCAAACTTGTGTAAATGTAATCCCGGGAGCCCCACGAAACACGTCCATCCATCTCGACAGGGAGAAACCATACTGACTGTTTGGATGTGTGCATGGAACCACACGCAGACTCCTCCCACGACACTCCCACATCACGTGACCCCAGTGCACGCGGTATCCATACGTACAGCACGTCCACCCCAACGTCATACGGCGGACTGTTTTAAAAAACGTCCGTTCAGGACGGAGCATGAAACTTAAATGAGAGAATTAACGCCTTGCAATGAGGCGCGCTAACCACGCCTCCTCACACGCCCCGTAGAAGACGCACGTGCGGCGGATTGGTCCAAGCTCTATTCACGCCCCGTAGAAGACGCATTCACGAAGCATTGGTCCTCGCTTCATAGAGGCGCAGGTAAACTCCTCCCATACTCTGACAGACGCTGTTTTAAAAAGCCAGAAACACAATACTCACTTTTTGTGGTTTAACTGAAAAAACTTATTCGCCTATAATGGCTACTGCACCCGAACCCAAGACTCCTGAAAGAAACATTGATGAGGCTATGGCGGATCTGACTCTAGCGCCTAGGAAAAAACGAGGACCATCATTAACGAAGTTTCTTCACGAGCCATTGGGCCGTGTGGAATATTCATTTCAGCTATCAGATGGACGTGCATGCATTTACAATTTCGACAAACATAACCGTGAAGTCCGTCTGAGTAATGTGGACGGGGACGAACGGTTTACAACGAATATGACAGAAGACCCTGATTTATTGTTTACCGAGAGAGACTGGATTTTATTTTATACGAAAGTGTGGAGGGACTTGCAAGATGGTGGAAGTGAGCCGCTATTTATAGCGGAATGGTCGGGCCTGAGTTTTGGGACAAGATACAGGTTGCTTGCGGACCACATCAATAAGTATGACGAGGACTACATTTACATTCTATCCAGTGATTTCGGAAAGGATGGGGATGGATGCTCGTGGCCTATCAAAGAGAGCGAACATCTACGATTTTATGATTTAAAATTCATCTTTCAATGGAAAGATATCGCAAATTTGAATGGTATTTTTTCTGAAATACACAAACTTTTCCAATGGTGCGACGCTTTTGACAGATACGAGGGTATTAAAGTGAAGTTGTTTCACCCGGAGTGGTGTACACCCACTAGGAGGGGCGTGCATATAGCACCACCCACGCTCTACAAATAATAATACCTTCGGATTCCGCCAGTCCAGCTCATACTCGCACTATGTCTCAAGAGGATATCATCTCACCATTCTCCCCTCCCGGATCTGTTGATGGATATGGTACAAATAGATACCCCCACCAAAGCAACGACTGGCTAAATAAATTTTGTACGGAACTTGGATTTCACAATCTCGCATTCCTCACGAGCTACGGTGCTGACGTTTGTGCCGTCGCTGCTGCCACTGCTGCTGCTACTGCTACTATTGCAGCCGAGACTCCTGGCACCACGCCTAGTGACGAACTGGACGGATGCCTTGGTGATAATGGGCACAGGATTATTAAAGCAGTCGTTACCATCATACTGGAATATCTGATTGATAAGCAAATGAAGAAGGATTGCGTTGGATGTACCGTAGACCATCCGTCCCAAACAAGGCATTCGTGCCTGTTTGAGCCTACACCGTATTATTTTTATGGATGTTTTGACGAAATCAGTCTGAAACTCCTCAAACCTGAGCTGAAAACTATCTTATCTCAGGCTTTGAATCTGTACGGGGCTACCCCACACCTGCAAAGAATCCAGGGAGCTGTGGAGACCATTTTGTTTGAGCTCAAAGATGAGATGTACATTGTGGAGCATCTGGCATCTATCAGGCAGAAGCTAGTCGACGAAAGCTGTGAACAGATCGTATACAACGCAGTTGACAACTGGAAACACGTTGATGCTGAAAACCTCGATTCTACCTCAGTCTGAAGATGGGAAACTGCTGCACCTTCTGGATTGCCAAACATTTCTTTAAATCATATGTAAAACGTGAGATATCAAACTTGCTGTACAAGATTATCGATGATAATCATGCAACAGGTGATAACGTTACTATGGTTGATAAACGTCTGACAAAATTATCGAATCAGATGAACGCTGTAAGGGGAATATCAAATCAATGGAATAATATGATAAACATGTCCGTCAAACACATACCTTGCACGACTATCAACAACATTCTTGAACTGATGCCTGAATGCAAGGAATCTCTTAGAATAGGAAATATATTATGTCTTTGTACGTATGTGACTGATGTTTGTAAATTGTCAAGGAATGAATACCCCGATGTTTGTAAAATGATTGATATTTTAGTTGAATACATGTTGGAGAAAAATTTTGAAATGTGTGTAAATTTTATTTTGATGTTCGGATGATCCGTGTAGATATCTGAAATAAAAATCTGTGTGACATCAAGACAACGGGTCATTATTTTATGAAGAGTGACAGAGATAGTAACATGTCAGAGCTAATGAAAAAAGTTTACTATAACCCCTCAAGCCCCGGAGCTTTTGGCGGTAAGGACAGATTAAAACAGGCTGTGTTACAGGAATACGGCGTGAAATTAAATGATAAGGATATTAACGAATGGTTGTCCAAACAGGACGTATATACGTTACACAAGACTGCACCAATAAATTATAAACGGAACCGTGTAGTCGTATACGGTAAGGATCATCAATTCCAGGCTGACTTGGTCGATATGACCGCATACTCAA